CACGGGCAATTTTTTTTACTGTGTAACAGATATTTCATAGTTTCAAGTTAAATGACCCTGTGTATAATTCTACAAACAATGAAATGTTTTTTACAAGATTGTCGTCTAAATATTCCAATATAGTTTTATTAGATTTGGGCGTTAAAAAGGCAGTTTTGAGACATTTTAGACAATTTTAAGATTAAGAAAAATTCTAAAAAATGATGATGACGTTAAACTTTTCAGAACAAAAATCGATAAACACTGTTTTTGTAACTACCTGTATTGTAGAAAACATCATAAAATATGCACCCTCGACAAAAAGTTTAAATAAACACTACTACAGATATCATGTTTGATAAAGTAATTAGTATACCAGCCTTGTTTCTGATGGTTAAGTTGTTGATTTACGTGATTTCTAAAAAAAAACACAACGCTTACGCTCCAGCAAAAATCGTGTAAAAATCGCTGGAAATTTTCGAGCACGCGAATAGTGGCCTTCACATGCAGCACTTGACCTTCAAGAAGTGCTAACAAGTTTGGGTCTAATAAAAGATGAGGATAAAGATTTTTTTTGTCTTTGCTGTCAATTTAGCACGATAAGATTAAAAATCTTTTAAGTTTTTATTTTTTTAAAATATTTTACTTTTTTAGAGACTTTTTTACTATTAAAAAAAAATTAAGTTAGTTTTATACAGGAACTTTTAATTTTACCGTATTTATTCGCAAGATGTATTTAAAAAAAAAGGTTTGATTCAATAAAAAAATTCGATAACTACTGACAATATTTTGTAAAATACTACTTCTATATCAGATTCAAACGGTTGTTAGTCCATTTTCAAGTAAGAAATTTTGATTTGACAGGAAAATTACCCTGATATTTTGAAATCCGGTAAAACAGATTTCCAGCACAATATTTAAATTAATTATTAATACATTATTTTGTATTTAGTTCGATTATAAACATTTCTAGGCACTTGCAAGCTTTGCTCGTGCCTAAAATGTTGTAAGTAGTGTTGTTTTATAATTAACTCATTAAAGATACATCTTTACTATTACTTAAATTTAAAATGTATTATTTAAATGATAATTATAGATAATTAAAAAAAAATTAATATTAAGAAAGAATATTCATAGCAAAAATGGCCATATCATTTCATTTAAATCGTTAAACTTAACAGGATTGTTAAATTTAGTTCACCTCATAATTTTAAATTACCTACCAATATTAAAATTAATTATTCTAAATAGCCACAACACAACCTACTGGATTAAAAGGAAGTTTACAGGGCTGTTTTGGTAGAATCCTTTTAAGGTTTTTGGTGAGTTGGTTTGTTATTAGGTAGATGGAGTGTGAAGCGGTATCCTGAAAATTGTATCCTGTTAAATATTTTAAGACGTAGTTTGCTGTAAAAAATAGTAGTTATGCTGTTTTTGAAAGTTTTATTTGTGTTACTTGAATTTAAGTTAAAAAAAAATTAAATATTTTTGTAAATAATAAATAAATGGGTCATTTTCAAGAAACACTCGCTTTCAGGAAAATGAAGATCAAAATTTTTTTTTTGCCTAAATTGACTTTTGGTTGTATTTTTATAAATGTTTAGAGTTTTGTTTACTTACATTTAAGACAGGCAGTACGTTTTTTTCAGAAAAATGTGTTTAGCTAGCTTAATATGTAAATCTCCACTGTGTTACCAATTTGAAATCCAAAATTTAATTTTTAATTAAAAATTGTATGCTTTTTTAAATATTTTTGTTCGTTAAGATACTTTTTAAAAGAAACCATTCCGATTGTTAAAAAAACAACACCATTAATATTTTCTTTTAGTCACTGTATTAGTGAGTTAAACTCTAATTTATAAACACGTATTACCAAGTGATAGTGTATAAAAATCATTTTAAGTATTTCTTTTACAAAAACTAAAAAAGTAACGAAATAGACATTGGTATCACAACGGACTGGGGTACACAAAGGACTTAATCAGATAACGTAAAAAAGAAACTATATAGGGTGGTACGATTTTAGAGTAATGCATAAACAAAATCCCTCGTAGTGGTGCTCACTTGCACAATAACAACTTAGATTTCTAAATTGTAGACACCTTTTTTCTTTGACTATAAGCTAGTGAAGGTCTTGCGTTCCTTTTAGTACTTGTATATTGCGTGGAATTTTCCCTTGGATGTAATCTATATCATGAGTTGTAATCAAAAATGATTTTAAATTGGTTTATCATAAACTACTTTTTAATAAAAGCGACGGTAGATATCCACTTTGTTGTCGAAAAATTCTATTGCGTTACCCTAAATTCCATTGCGTTACCATAAGGTAAAATAATAACTCGGTAACGCAGTGGAAAAAGTTTTGTGAAACCATATTTTAAAAATAATAATAAGACCTTACAGTCATAAATTACTCTCAATGAGCTTTAGTGCCCCAAAATAAATAAAAACATAAAAAATAGTATTTTTTTTTACCTTAATTTTTATTATTTGTTTGAGTAACTTAGCGGACAAACAATTATTACATTCGCGTTACCCGCACCTGTTTCAACCGATATCTTCTTTCTGATTAAATGAATAAATTCATCTGGTTAATGTGTACGTCCGAACATCATTTCTTGATCAGGTGAGCCAAAAAAGTTGCCATATATATGTTTTTTTAATATTCTATCAGTAACGCGATGGACGTAACGCAACGGAAAAAATGTCTGGGACATGAGTCAAATTTAAAAAAAGTATATTAAAATTAATTAATTTATATATAAATTGTTTACTGTATTAACTAAGGATGTTATGGATTGCTATAAAGCAACACAAAGTTCTGGTTATTCAATATTTAAAAAAAAACATGTATGTAAGTTTTATAAAACGCTAATGGGACATGCGAAAATGGGTGTTTCACAAGTTTCAAAATTAAAAAAAATTATTCTGAAATAACTAAACAAACATTTTCTGAAAGAGTTTACTAAGGGCTTGTTAGGCTTTCACTTGGTTTTTAAATCAATAAGATCCGATAATGTTTAACAAAGTTATTGGAATTCAAACTTACGGACAGCGGAAGGCGGGTGTTTATTGAAAACAACCCAAATATATTGCAGGTTTTTTTAAGTAGTTTCTTATTTTGACCAATTTTTGTTAGATTTAGAACAATTATGCCAAATGTAAAATAATAATAAATGCTTTAGAAAGGTGAAGACCTAGTTTAAATCGTTTTTGTGATTTGCCAAATTAATAAAATTATATTTGTTTTTATATTGTCCCCCACATCCATAAGTATAATTAATATATTATTATTTTATTTGCGAAAAGTTTAATTTTATTAAATTAATAAGTTCTTTAAGAAAAGTCTAAACAGCCAGTAGAGTTCTGTTTTAAATAATCACTTATCATACAAAAACTTGTATGACATAATTCATTATATTCATCTTTATAATACATAACAAAGGAATGTAAAGTGGCCTGACTATTTACTTAGTGAAAATTTTGTATTTCGTATTGTACAACGGAGGAGAAATTTTCAGCAAAATCACCTTGGGAAGGATTGGGAAGCAAATTATTTTTTTAAAGATGCATATTTTGCCTTTTGAAATATAATGATGCTTTTTTAAAGAATCTATTGCTGATAATATTTCGTCAATGAAATCAGAAACTGGTAAATTAAAGGTAAGTAAATTACAAAATACTTATAAACCTGTTTTTTTTAATTATAGGGACACACTGTTTAAATATTTATTTATTCTTAGTTCAAAGCCTTTTTAAACAAAAATCATATATAATTTTAGTGCCATTTTCTATAAAATTTGTCGTTGTATCTTCTTAGCAATACACAATATTTTTTTAAAGTTTTTAGTATATATTGAGGAGAACATTCTGTTAAATTTTGAACAATTTTCATTCCAGTCCCTCTGGACAGAAAATTAATTTTTTTTCGACAAAAATGGGAAATTTTTATAATAAAAATGATATTTCCTGCATTTTGGGTACTTATTTTATAATTTTGAATTTTATATTTATAAGTACTTTAAATAAAAATATACACCAAATCAAATTTCCATAGCCTACTACATAATATCAATGGTAGAAAATTCACTTTTCAGTTAAAAAAACCGTGAATTTAGCACAAAAAAAACTGCACTTGTAAAAACATTTGAATAATTTTAGGTATATATATGTATAAAAAGTAACATTGTGTTATGGTTAAAACAAAATATTAAGCGATAAAAAAATATTAATAAACATAAAAGTTACAAAAGAATTTCTTAGAAACCGATTTGGTAATATTTTATGCAAACCGGTCAACTTGGCCTTGCCTAATTTCTCAGGGTTTTTAAATAAAAAAATATTATTGTGATTTTAGTTCATCCCAAGCATTCATCTTCAAATCCTAAAACTTTTAGTATGGTGTGATGTTAAAAGATAATAATAAAAAGTAGAGTTATTATATTTTTTTATAATAATCCTATTTTTAAATTATTATTACTAAGAAACACATAGTTGCATAATTAATCAATTGCATCTTACCAAGGTCTGTAACATCTGTAATTAATTTGCCTTATAATTAATATACCAATTAACATAAAACATAAAACAATCATCAAAGAAGCCTTTATGTGTTGTAATTTTTAATTGCTAGACGACATCAATTTTATCAATTTTACTTTAAATAATTAATATCTTGAATGTATGAAAGGTTTTATACCTTTCTATAAAGCTCAGTTTATTGGAATATTTTAAACATGGATCCAAAATCAAACTGGAAAGAAGTAAACATTTTAATGTTACTGTGCGGTACCTGGCCCACAGAACTAATACCACCTGGTAAATATAGGACGTTCTACAAGGTCGCCAAAATCTTTCCATCATTATTTTTCTTCATATTTATGTTAAGTTTAAGTTATGGATTATATTCGATTATTATACAGGGTGATTTTAAAAACCTGCCGCCGAGTTTAATGGTGTATATAATGTATTCAATAATATTGATAAAAACGTTAATATGTCAGTTCGGGGCCATACAGAGGATGATTAAGTTATGCGTGAAGCACGATGTGTTTTTGTCGAAAATTAAGGACGAAGCTATAGTGAGGATAAGAAACAATTACATATTTAAAGCCAAGTTGTGTATGAAGCCTTTTATAAATTACACGCCATTTTTGGGCATGGTGTTCCTATTAAGCAACTTTTTGGAGTACTATGTTTTCTGGAATGAAGAGAAAGCAAAGAATATGGTTCGTCAATTACCGTATTACTCGTATTTGCCATTCGACACGAACGAGCACTATTTGTGGGGTTTTGCTTGCAATGTTTTCTTCGTCTATTTCGCCATTATCTTGTATGTTTCAAACGATGTTATGCTTATAAGTGTTTTATTTTTTATGTCAGTTAAACTGCAAATCCTGCAAAATTTTCTAAGGAACCTTGGAAAGTACGCTGGCAATATTAGGCAGATTCATGGCGAATTAACTGAAGATCAGGCTGTGTTTGTTACAATAAGATTGTGCATTATGGAGCATCAAAATATAATGAAGTAAGTAACGAAATTATAACAATACTTTAGTTAAACAAAATATTATTAATGTTTGTTTATTGCTGCGATACACAGCCTCACTGTAAATTTATGACGAAGACATAATTGTTGTTCTATACTTTTAAAAATACCTTTTCATAATACCTCGTACTCAAATTTAAAAAACTTAAAGCATTAAAAACCAATGCTTTTTCAAAAAGACTGGGCTTTGATAGCTAAATAAAATCATTTTTTTTTGTAGATTGGTTACTGAAATAAACAGCAACATTAAGTTTGTACTTTTATTGGAATTTTTCACAAACTCTTTGCAACTAGCAGCAAACCTTTTAACCATAATGGACGTAAGTAAAAAACAATAAAAAACAAGTTTTTTAAAAAATACGTATATTTTTGTAGCTCGAAATCGGAGCTATTTTCTTCTTTGTGCTCCTGTATTTAGTCCAAAAAGTTGCCGAAATTATGGTTTTACATTATGCTGCTGACGAAATTAAATCACAGGTGCGTAAACTATACACAGGGTGTCCGAAAAATTGCCCACCATATCCTCAACATGGGAATTTGACGATAATGTTTTAAGTTCTTTTTCAACATCCTGTATAAATTTTATATTTTTAGAGCCTAAATCTATCAACAGCTATTTGCGACTCAAACTACTACAACTATAACAAAAAATCCAAAGATTGCCTCAGGCTTATGTTACTTGTAAGCCAAAGACCTTTGATGTTAACAATCGGTCCCTTTGGAGAGATGTCACTGGTTCCTGCATTAACGATTTTTAAAACCGCCTACACAATTATAACTTGTGTAAAACAAACCAGACACAATAAATAAAAAAATGTGTTTTTAAAATTGTTCAAAAAATACCCAGTTTATGTAAATTTGACGTCAGTATGATGTCATTTAATATTGTCAGATACTTATGTAACATAAATTACATGGAAATGATTTCAATTTAACATCACCATGATTTTCTTGATATCACTTTGTCATAACGCTGATGTAATAATGACGTTCAATTGTAACTATTTATTTATTTATTTACAATTACATAATATTTTTAAGTATATAAATATAAACTGTTTTTTTTTAAATGAAGTAGCTATTGTTTGGGAATAATAACTTAATTGAAAACAGCTTGGCTTTTTAGGGAGTGAGCACTTTTGAGTTTGGTAATGATTCCCAAAGTATTATTTTTAAAGCAATAAAAATTTAAAAATTAGCGGGTTGTGCCATCAACCCAACAAGTTTTCTAAGAAACACTAGCAAATTAGCGACAAAAATCAATTTTAAAAGTGCGCAATTTTAAATTAGGCATAAGTTATATATATGAAGTTAAACAGGCTGAAATGGTCGTTGTAAGTAGTGTTTTTTTAATTAAATGATAATTGTTTTTAATTAGCTATAATTAAATGAAATGTAAGAAAAATAAAATGTATAGAAATTGTATTAAGACATGTTATTAATTCTGCACCAAAATTTACTAAGGGACTGATGAAATCGTATTTTATAATTATACTAACTCAATAAAAACAGATCTGTACTAGTATACTTAATAATTCAATAGTAATACATAGGAGAGTCAAAAAATATATAAAATAATTTGACAGATTTTATAAAACCGATTGCCAGGAAATAGACACTCGTGTTTCTATTGCCAAATGGTTTGAGAAAAGATCTGAAGAATTATTTTCAATTTACCATCTTCAGTGGTATTTCTTAAATTATTTTTTTGAGGAAACAATAATGCATCAACAATAAACATAAATGTCCAAATAGTATAAAATGTTTTATATCCACGCGGTCTATAATTTATTCTTTATTGTTGTCAACATTCGATAAAGAAATACCTTGTTATGCCCTGACAAATTAATACTTTTCTAAAAAATTAACGTACTAAACTGGTTTAATTTATTTATAATAAGCACTAATTTGTTTGTTTTACTGTTAATGTTTAATATTTTTCATTAAATTATTGTAAAATTAAATATGAATAATAAAACAAAAAGTGAGGTTAGGCAACCAAGAAAACGCACGATTCTTTTTCTACGATTTAAATTATCTTTAAGTTTTAATTTGCTTTAAGTTTTCAGTGAAATTAAATGTTAAACATAGCTTAAACATTCCAAACTACCTATTTTTTAAATAAAAATCCAAACAAATTGAAATTAGATACCTACATATTTATTAAACAATTAATTGAATTCAATGTAATAGCAAAAATCCATTTCTATTTAAATCATGTTGCTAGGTATTGTCAAACTATTACTGCTTTTAAAAGCAATAATAATTATTTTACATTTAATGTAATCTTTAGCTAATAAATAAATGAGATTCTAAAAAAGTGAGGTTAGGCCGCTTTGATGTTGAATTAAATTGACCTTTATAAATTCTTTGAAGATAAAATGTTGTATGCCATTCGGCCAAGAAGGACCTTTTTTGTGCTTCGCTCAATTGTAGGCCTCCGCTACGCGTCGGTCTTCAAACCTTTAGCTTAGCACAAAAAGCCTTACTTCTTAACCTAATGACATAAATAACTATTATAAACTCCATTACGACTTTTATTGGGCACGAGCAAATCTATCGAGCGAGTGTTTAATAAAAACCAGTGTCTAGAGAAGTTTATAAAATCGAGTTGGATCTACAACGAACTCAAAAAAAAATTTAAAGCCAATTTAAATTGTTAAATTGACGAATTTAACCTCACTGTTACGCAATTTATAATAAAGCAAACTTCACCCAGGGCTAAATTCTACAAAAGCCACTATAGCTAACTTTAGCCAGTATAGCTATAGCTATAACACCATAAAGTCAAAGATTGTCAGTGTGGGAGTAGATAAAAAATAATGTCGCTCTGATAAAATGGAAATACTACATTAAAAGACTCATTAAACTCAATCAGAATATCAAATGAAGTTTTATTTTTAATCACATTAAATTATTAAAACTAATTACTACAACTAGGAATTATTTATGACGCACTGATGGAATCCCGCCTAAGATACGGAATCTTAAGTTGTGGGGGAGTTTTAAATACTCATCAAAGAAATCTAGAAATAACACAAAAAATTCTCAAAATTATTCAGTATGTCGAAATAACTTACCTACCCTACAGATGAACTCTTTCTTAAATCTGGTAAAATGGACTGTAGGCAACTATTTTACCTGTAAAAACAGTTTACACCAGACGTAATAATAACCTACCAATTCCAAAAATGAATAAAACCATTAGAAAGTCTACAACGAAATACCTAAAAACTTAAAAAAATAATTTTTATAATGGATCTTTTAAAAAAATGTGCAGTAACTATATAATGCAGCAACCAAGGCAATTCACAAATAACACTGTGCAACACAAAAAATGAACTGGGATCAAATCTGAAAAAATCGAATCTAGGCAACCCCCAAAACAAATCCTTTAAGGGGTTTTACCAGTTTAGCTCGAATAATGGAGATATACAGGGTGTTTCTTTTAACTTAAGACAGCTCAATATCTCGAGAAATACGCATTTCACGGAAAAATGTCTTAAATAAAAGGTTAATGTGACTAAAGGGGACATTATTTGGTGCTACCGCTAGCCACCCCCTACCCCTCCTTAAGGGTGAAACGGGGGGTAACTTTGGAAAGTCAAATGGAATGCGATACCGCCCGACATGTTGGCGCGTTGTGTGCCAGAATTCATTACCCGCATTCAAAAATGTGTTGAAATGGAAGGACGACATTTCGAACATTTGTTATAAATTGTTTTCAGAGCCGACTATTGTTGATTTAATGTTAATTTTTGTTTTTCAAACGTTTCAAATAATACATTTTACAAGGAAACCCCTTTTTCTTAAATTACAGCGCCATCTGTTGATAAATTGAAAAAAACTTTTAAATAAAAGTTATTCATTTTTTTATGTACTACCAAACTCTGTGAAAATCGGGTCATTCCATTTGACTTTCCAAAGTTACCCCCCGTTTCACCCTTAAGGAGGGGAAGGGGGTGGCTAGCGGTAGCACCAAATAATGTCCCCTTTGGTCACATTAACCTTTTATTTAAGACATTTTTCCGTGAAAAGCGTATTTCTCGAGATATTGAGCTGTCTCAAGTTAAAAGAAACACCCTGTATATTTCCATTATTCGAGCTAAACTAGCAAAACCCCTTTAAAGATTAGTTTTGGGGGTTGCATAGATTTGATTTTTCCACATTTCATCCCAATTCAAATTGTAAGGTCAAAATTTGTCGCACAGTGTAATCAGATTGATTTAAAAAACTGCTATTTTTAGTTTTTACTAAAATTAAAATCTAGTATAATTAAAACCTAACTAAGAATAGCGTAAATTCTCAACTACTACAACAGAGTTTATACGCTTTTATCTATTAATTTTTGTATATTTGTAATTATATGTAGATATCGTTGGTCTAGTCTACTTAGCTAAATAAAAGTAATATATGGTTGTCGTCCTTAGATTTATGTCATAAGTTAATTATTTTTTTAGATTAATACTTTTTCGATTGTGTATTTTTAATAAAATTTATGTCTGTAGGCATAAACACATGATTTAATCATTTAAGTGTATTTTAGCATATTTTTTTTAATTACCTTTAAAATTTTTCCTATTTTTATTATTATGTAATTGTAAACTGATTAAATAAATATTATTATTATTATTATTATTAATTATTCTAATACAACCTAGTGGATTAAAAAAAAGTTTACAGGACCATTTCGGTAGAATCCTGTAGGATTTTGGTCAAAAAAAAAAAAACCAAATGTATCAAGACAATTTATTGGTTTTAGACCAGTTATGAAACTATTTGTTATAATTGGATTATTTAGTGGAAGAACACTTTAAACACGCTGAACTTTGCCGTTTAAAAATGTAGCATGTTTTCAATAAAGACTTATATTATTATTATTATTATTAATTGCACTAACTCATTAAAAATACATATTTACTACTGAATTTAAAATTTATTATTAAAATGATTGTTATTATATTTAAAAAAAAAATTAATTTTAAAGAAAAATATTCATAGGCAAACTGCATCAAAAATGGCCATATCATTTTATTTAAATCGTTAAACTTAACAGGATTATTAAATTTAGTTTACCTTGTTATTTATAATTACCTAACAATATTAAAACTAATTATTCTGATTAGCCACAACACAACCTACTGGATTAAAATGAGGTTTACAGGACTATTTTGATAGAATTCTGTTAGGGGTTTTGGTGAGTGGTTTGTTAGAAGGTAGATGGCGTGTGAAACGTTATCCTTAAAATTGTGGCCTGGTATGTTAAGACATAGTTTGCTGGAAAAAATATAATGCTGTTTTTGAGAGTTTTATTTGTATTACTTGAATTTTAGTTTAAAAAATTAAATAAATTTTAAAACAATAAATAAATATATTGCAGGTTTTATTAAGTAGTTTCTTAAAAACAGTTTTAAAAATGCAATTTTTGAATTTTTTTTAGATTTAGAGCAGTTATTCCAAATGTAAAATAATAATAATTTTCAATCATTTTCTTTGGTGTGATGTTAAAAGATAATAATATAAAAGTAAGATTATTATAAATTTTTATAATAACCTTATTTTTTATTATAAATTACTAAGAAACACTTAGTTGCATTATTGATTAGTTGCATCGTACCAAGGTCTGTAACATCTTTATTTAATTTGCCTTGTAATTAATATAGCAATTAAAATAAAACATAAAATAATCATCAAAGAAGCGTATACAAGTCTAAAAATTGTAATTGCAAGACGAAATCAATTTTGTCAATTTTACTTTAAAAAATTAATATCTTGAATGTATAAAAGGTTTTACATCTTTTTAGAAAGCTTAGTTTATTGGAATATTTAAAACATGGATCCAAAATCAAACTGGAAAGAAGTAAAGATTTTGATGTTACTGTGCGGTACCTGGCCCACAGAACTAATAACACCTGGTAAATATAGGGCGTTCTACAAGGTCGTAAAAATCTTTCCATCATTATTATACTTTATATTTATGTTAAGTTTAAGTTATGGATTATATTCGATTATTATACAGGGTGATTTTATAAACTTGCCGCCGAGTTTAATGGTGTATGCATTGTATTTAATAATATTAATAAAAACGCTTATATATCAGTTCGGAGCCATACAGAGGATGATTAAGTTATGCGTGAAGGACGATTTGTTTTTGTCGAAAATTAAGGACGAAGCTATAGTGAGAATAAGAAAAAAAAACATATTTAAAGCCAAGTTGTTTATGAAGCCTTTTTTATATTACACGCCATTTTTGGGCATGGTATTCATATTAAGCAATTTTTTGGAGTACTATGTTTTCTGGAACGAAGAGAAAGCAACGAATATGGTTCGTCGATTACCGTATTACTCTTATTTGCCATTTGACACGAACGAGCACTATTTGTGGTGTCTTGCTTGCCATTTTATCTGCGCCTATTATGCCATCGCGTTGTTTATTTCAAGCGATATTTTGCTCATAAGTTTTTTATTTTTTATGTCAGTTAAACTGCAAATCCTGCAAAATTTTCTAAGGAACCTTAGCAAGTACGCTGGCAATATTAGGCAGATTCATGGCGAATTAACTGAGGGTCAGGCGGTTTTTGTAGCAATAAGATTGTGCATTATCGAGCATCAAAATATAATGAAGTAAGTAACGAAATTATAACAATACTTTAGTTAAACATAATATTATTAATGTGTGTTTATTACTAAAATAACACAGCCTCACTGTAAATTTATAAATTTTATGGATTTATTTCTCCAGAAAGTTATCACAACAAAGTTAAAAAAAGTAGCATTCGTTTGGCCAACATAATTGACCATCAATAATATCGTTTGGCGATTTCCGCAATAAAAAATACATAAGGTCACCGAAATTATAGTACATAATACCTATAAAAAACAACCGTAAATTTGTTAGAATTTGATAATGTCAATTTAAATGTTATAGTAAAATTTAAAAAACTTCAAGCAAGCAAAACCAATGCTTTTATAAAAAAAACTGTGCTTTGGTAGCTATTGGTAATGCCAGAAAAGAACAAGGATCGCTACTTTAAATTTGTCTTAACAAATAAATGAGGAAACAACATCGAAGATGTTTTACTTTGCTATGTATCTGGGCTATCAAAAAGTTACGCGCCATGAAAAAAAATTTGATGATAAAAACTACAGAAAAATATGGACATTTTTAGTCAATATTACGATAAACTTTTTGTTGATGAACATATTTTAAACGATTTTACATATGGGTGATTCTACAAAAGTTGGACAACTTGATGTCATCAGTCAATAGAGTAGGTATTTTAATATTTTTTGTAAATATTTTAGTATATTACAAAAGATCCGGGTTTTTTTAACTTGTTTACTCAATTTTAATGTATTTTTTCAAAATCACGTTTGTAGAAAAACATAATAAATATTCAAAACATCAGTACCTTGGCGTGTCACAACTCCTGAATCAAATATTTGAGTGATTTTATTTTAAAATATATTCAATTTATCTTATTTTTTTTAATTTCACTACAAACTATAAAACATTAAATAATGTAATTTTCATATTTTGTCATGGATTCGAATAATAGCAATTTTTAAAAAATTGATAATATTTGTACTCACTTTTACCCGTCAGTTCTGTGTCGAATGTTAAATTTCAAAATTCCTGCGAAATATTGAATTTTAAACGTCAAGTCCTCGTTTTAACTCAAGTGTTGGTAAAAATTACCTACTTTGCACGACAGTAATCTTGAAAACAAAGCAATCGGCGAAGTTGTGGTGAATGCATGAATAGTTCCAGTCAAAATTTCAGTACTGTGGTGAGTAGTTATTTTCTACGTATATATATTTCATTGTAATTTATATAAGGCTATGTGATTTGTTGATAAGTAGCATCCACTAATAAAAAATACTTCATTCCGACATATAATCTCAAATTTGTATCCCATTCATCAGTACCGTGTCGTCAGTTTCATGTCCGATGTTTCGGTTATCTTTTTTTCGCAAACTTTAATTTAAATTCTGCTTGCGCAGAACTTATTTATTCAATGTCATTATAAACTCATAGTAATTTGGTGTGGGTCCCATATCTAATAATTGAGATATCGGTATACCCAAAATCCACCAGCCGCCACTGATGGGTGGTATTATTTGATTTTAAGATATTTAATGTATAATATGCTCAAAGTTGCAATAAATCTTATATTTTCCAATAAATTATGTATTTAATTAGTACCCTGGTATACTCGTCACTTCCCTTGCATTCAAATTTAGAAAACACAGATATTTCAGAAACTTTTTGAAAAGGTGGCTGGCCCAGTCTGGAACAGTATATTTATTATATTATCTATGTTCTCATAACAAAATACTGTTTAATTTTTTCCGAAAACTATATAAACAAAATGAGGTCAAAAGTTGCCCAACTTTTGTAGAATCACCCATATATGGAAAGCTTTCCACATTCTTGAATAGAAAGTCGAAGCGCTACACACCCAAAACCCTTTGATATTGTCAGCAGAGCAAATAAAGCTTTTTCTTGTGAAATCTTCTGACATTCGACTGTTACTAGAGAAAATCTTAGTAATTTTTGGAATTTTTGGAGCTTGCTGTTGCGAAGAAATTGTTTTCTTTACAATTGATAACAAAGCCACACAAAATAACAAAAGTTCCCGGAAATGGATATGTGACATAGATTTTTTTATGTATTTTGACACGCTGAATCCGAATCCGATGTCAAAATTCGCCCTGCACGTCGCAGTTTCAACCAAACCTATAAAAACTGAAAAAACTTGTTTTTTTCTGTTCTAGGCACGGTGTGCCTGAACAAGTCTCAGGTCACGTAAAAATGTCAACCAAAACGGATTGTATTTTTGAAATATGCATCTATTCCTCACTCCAAAACCGTATTTTTCAAAATACTAGCTGATCCTCTTTTTTATTTTTTTGCATTTTTTGCAAAAATTGATGAAGTGATGCCTAAAATTTACAATTTTAGGTGGACTCTGCTAAAATATTAGTATGACCTATCAATTTTCAATAAATAATCAAGAATTAAAATATAAAGAGAGAGTCGAAAAAAAATCACTATTTATATTTTTCCATTTTTTTTTTAAATCAATAAATTTTCTAATTTGACAAGAGACTAGAGAAATAAGTAAAGTTTTTTCATAATTAAATTTTTATTATGATGATACCTAAAATTACTTTACAGAAAACTATGAATCATTTAAAAAATTTTAGAACTAAAGTCTACAACAGCTTTTTTTAAATGTTCACCATAATCAGGATGTTCAAGTAAATTGATTTTATACTTATTCCAGTATTTTATAAACTCGCGAAATATCGACTCCCCAGCCTGCTCAGACCATGTGCCCAACCCAGCACCGTTCAAAAATCTAATACGATATTCCGTAGACAATCTTCGTTAGACTAATAGAAGCATTTTTGCGTGAAGATCATGAATTATTAGATTTTAATACTCGGGTCTTGAGAACTGAAGAAACGACTTGTTCTTGAGTTTTCGGTGTAAATTTTTGTATAATATTGACGACATTTGAATTCGTACATATATGTTTTTTTTTCTTTACTAACTCTTGTGAAACAGATTTTGCCCAAAATAATTAGTTTTTTGTATTTCCCCTTCCTCGTGTTACCTTTCGGTGAATCTTGCTGTTGTGCATATTCTGCACGCACACACCTTATTTTGGATATTCATAGTAGAGTTTGTAATAACATTTTCTATTTCAAAGTCTGTCATTTTCACCATCTTGCGTGTTTTAATTTTTTTTTCATATTCGCAAAGAGTATGCCTGCATGTACCGCAAATTGCAGTTAAAAACTTGATATTGCTATATTTCAGATTACTAAATTTTACAAGCAATCTTTCCAATCTTGCACTTATTACAAACATGCTATTGGGCAGGGATTTTTTAAAAATTATCTTTTCACCGCATTGGGCACAGATTCTACCTCTATTTTCTTCATGGTTCAATTTAAATCTTGCGTTTGTAGTCATTTTTATTTCAAAATATTCAAAATTATAGAGAGAACAATTCTCTATAACCAATAGATACTATTAACGATCACTAATAACAAATTACTGCGTATGAGTTGTTTTTTCGCTGAGGCATGGCCTACTTTGTTTAAAAAACTGCTTAAAGACGTGTAAGCGTGTTAATAAGGTAATTGCACCATTGCACCTTTTTTTGCAGGCCTATTTTTAATAGCTACAGAAATTAAAATTTAATTTAAACTAGACATTCTCTAGTTTCATTTCGATCTTATCCTATTCACCCAACGGATATCCATTTTTGAGTGAGTATTGATCTATTTCATATATCGATGACTTTCTGCCAAAGTATCGCAAGCAACATAACTCAAATTTCGGGAATTGAAAACATTATTGTCTTAAAGTCTGTTTTAAATTAAATATAGCCTAAAGGATTTATAACAAGTAAATAGCTTATAATTATAGCTATTTACTTGTTATAAATCCATTAGGCTATATTTAATTTAAAACAGACTTTAAGACAATAATGTTTTCAATTCCCGAAATTTGAGTTATGTTACTTGCGATACTTTGGCAGAAAGTCATCGATATATGGGGCAAAACACCTCAAGTGTTCCCACCTAAAAATGATGTTTTCTCCGAATTTCACAAAACTTTGCCAAATCATTGTCCTATTGGACTACCTTAATTTTCCAAATGGGGGGCAAAAAGGATTAGCGGGTTGCAGAGATACAGGGGCCTAAAAATTTATTTTTTTGAAATATTCATGTATAATAATTTTTTTTTGAATTGATAATCAACATATCGTATAGCATTTTATCCACGCTTTACGATAAAAATGGTCTCGTCTGGATTAATTGGAGAGGGTCAACACAACTTTTAAAATTATTTTTATATAGAAATAAATGTATTTTTCGATGGGTTTAAGTCAAAACAGCACAAGCGCCAAATTTTTTTTTTTTAGAAGAAGGTCTATAGAGAATTTAATTTTTAAACTCATCGATTTTATTGCAATAGTTCAAATTAATAGCAATTAAAACCCATGTTTTGGTTTTTGTAGTCGAAAAAGAAAAATGTAGAAAGTAATAAGTTGCTCTTAATGCAATTGCAAGTGTCTCACAATAATAATACACATTTTTCATGTAAACTTTTTATTGAACATTTTATCTATTTTTGGCGGTAAAGGCCTCTGCGATGGCATTGGTGGGAATTTAAAAAGACTGGCTGCCCGCGCAAGTTTGCAGGCAAAACCAAAAAATCCAATTCTAGATGCCAAAGATTTGTATGAATAGGCTCAAAAAAGTTTGAAAGAAACAAAAGTATTTTTCATTCTGAAAAATATCATATGAAAACAGCAGAAATTCTTAAAAAGCGATTTGATTCTGCAATATCTGAGACACAGAAATATCACTCATTTGTTCCTAACGGAAAAGGAATTTTGTCCTTTTCCCAAAAATAAAAAAATAGCTAAAATGTTCAATAAAAAGTTTACATGAAAAATTGCATTAAATTAATTGAAACTTGCAATTGCATTAAATAGTAGAACTTATTTACATTTACGTGCACGTGTAATTTATTCAGAGTAAGAGCAACTTATTACTTTCTACAATTTTCTTTTTCGACTACAAAAACCAAAACATGGGTTTTAATTGCTATTAATTTGAACTATTGCAATAAAATCGATGAGTTTAAGGCAAAACGACACAAGCGCCAAAAATTTTAAATTTGTTAGAAGTACATGCACCTGCATGTCGATAGAGAATTAAAGTCTCTATCGACCTTCTTCTAAAAAAAAAAATTTGGCGCTTGTGCTGTTTTGACTTAAACCCATCAAAAAATACATTTATTTCGATATAAAAATAATTTTAAAAGTTGTATTGACCCTCTTCAATTAATCCACTAAGTAGTAGACCGAGCACCGCTGCAATAGGTATACTACAGTATACTGTAGCTCAGCTCTGCTCGCCGCACGGTCCCTACGCGCTTCAACCCTTATTTTTTTCGACTTATTCTTGGAATCCCATCTTCATATTTCATCAAAATTTAGAGAATTAAAAAAGCTTTCTTTTGATATTAATTTTTTTTAAATCCAATGTGTCGCATTTCGAGAAAAAAACAAATATATTTTTAAAATCATTTTTTTATAACCAAAAAATTGTTTCTCGCTTTCGAGACCATTTTTATCGTAAAGCGTGGAAAAAATGCTATACGATATGTTGATTATCAATTTAAAAAAAAATTATTATATACATGAATATTTCGACGTCTTTTAAGCGCACGAGAAAAAAAATAAATTTTCTGGCCCCTGTATCTCTGCAACCCGCTAATCCTTTTTGCCCCCCATTTGGTAGTCCAATAGGACAATTATTTGGCAAAGTTTTATTAAAATCGGAGACAACAACATTTTTAGGTGGGAACACTTGAGGTGTTTTGCCCCATATAATACTCACTCGAAAATAAATATACCAATTATATAGAATGACAATCATATTATAAATCTAATTTAATTAAGCCGATATTCAGGCTTCTTGTTTTTTTTTTAATCCAAAAAATTGCAAAAAAATAAAAAAGAGGATCAGCTAGGATTTTGAAAAATATGGTTTTGGAGTGAGGAATAGAAGCATATTCCAAAAATACAATCCGATTTGGTTGACATTTTTATGTGACCTGAGACTTGTCCAGGCACACCGTGTAGGGTTGAGGTATATTAATAGTTATGTTATTTTTTAACTTAAAAAATGTGTCTTTATCAATTTAACAATGTTGACGTACAAACCTTCAAATTGTTATGTTAAGCTTAACGTCCTAGGCCAATATTAATTATCAATACAGGTTTTGATATAGGTGTCATTTCGTTGAAGGAGATAGTACTGTTATGACACTAATAACAAAGGTATTATGAAAAAGTATTATATTAAGTATTAGGTAGATCTTTTTTTTATTTATTTTTTAGTCAAAATTCGAGAATTTCCAAAATTCAAATTGCTTACTTGAACAATTAATTTTTCAAATTTACAATTATAATTTATAATCATTTAATTAATATTAAAATCATAATTGCAAGAAATGTTTATTTACAGTTAAATAATCAACTATCGAAATGTTTTTACATTTATTTAGTAGATAAGTTTTTCCGAAAATGGATCCAAACTCAAAATGAAATCATTTTTTTATTATTTTAGATTGGTTACTGAAGTGAACAGCAACATTAAGTTTGTACTATTTTTGGAGTTTTTCACAAACTCCATGCAACTAGCAGCAAACCTTTTGGCCATAATGGACGTAAGTAAAAATCAATAAAAAAACAGTTTTCATAAAAATACGTGTATTTTTGTAGCTCGAAATCGGAGCTATTTTCTTCTTTGTGCTACTGTACTTATTCCAAAGAGTTGCCGAAATTATGATTTTACATTATTCAGCTGACGAAATTAAATCGCAGGTACGTAAATTATACACAGGGTGTCCGAAAAATTGCCCACCATATCCTCAACATGGAAATTTGACGATTATGTTTTAAGTTATTTTTTAAACAACCTGTATATTATACAGGTTGTTTAAAAAATAACTTAAAACATAATCGTCAAATTTCCATACAGTGTATAATTTGTTATTAATAAAAAATATATATTTTTAGAGCCTTAATCTATCAGAAGCTATTTGCGACTCAAACTACTACAACTATAACAAAAAATCCAAAGATTGCCTCAGGCTTATGTTACTTGTAAGCCAAAGACCTTTGATTTTAACAATTGGTCCCTTTGGAGAGATGTCACTGGTTCCTGCATTAACGATTTTTAAAACTGCCTACACAATTATAACTTGTGTACAACAAACCAGACTTAATAACTAAATAAAATGTGTTTTAAAATTGTTTCAAAACAATACCCAGTAAACACATTTATGTAAATTTGACGTCAGTATAATGTCATTTAATATAATGCTTCACATATTTACGTCAAATACACCATGATTTTCGTGAGATCAATTTGTCATAACGCTGATGTAATAAGAACGTTCAATTGTAGGTATTTATTTATTTATTTGTAGGTATTTATTTATTTATTTACAATTATATTTTTAAGTAAATAAATATAAACTGTTTTTTTTAAATTAAGTAGCTATTGTTTAGGAATAATTAATAATTTGTGAACAGCTTGGCTATTTAAGGCGTGAGCACTTTTTTGTTTGGTAATGATTCCCAAACTTTTATTTTAAGACCTATAAAAATTTAAAAATTAGCGGTTTTCAAAGAAACACTAACAAATCTAGCGGCAAATATTAATTTTAAAATTGCACAATTTTACATTTTTTTAGGACAAAGTTAAGTTGAACACGTGGTTGAAACGGTTGTTGTAAGTAGTGTTTTTTATAATTAAATAATAATTGTTTTTAATTAGCTTTAATTAAATGCATTCCATGGAATGTAAGGAAAATAAAATGTATAGCAATTGTATTAAGAGATGTTAATAGTTTTGCACCAAAATTTCCTTTACTGCTGGAAGAGTAAGAATAAATTTAAAATAATTTCACAGATTTTCTAAAACCGGTTACCAGAAAATAGACACGAAAACCTGTAGTACTCGAGTTTCTATTGACAAATGGTTTAAGAAAAGATCTGAATTATTTTCAATTTATCTATGTCTAGTGGTATTTCTTGAATTATTTTTGAGGGTACAAAAATGCCTCAACAATAAATATAAATTTCAAAATAGTATATTATGTATAAGTTTTATTAGGCACGAGCGAATGTTTAATAAAAACGAGTGTCTAGAGAAGTTTATATATACTTTATCTACGACGAATCCAAAGAACAATTTTAAGCCAATTTTAATTGGTAAATTTATTAATTTAACCTTACTTTTAGGCAATTTATAATAAAGCAAACTTCAGCCCGTGACTAAAAACACCATACTATAGTATAGTGTAGTAACTATAACCCCATAAAGTCAAAAGCATTTCGTTGGTTCCTATATTAATTTTTAAATGGAAATACTACCTTTAAAGAATAGTTTAATTTAAAAAAAAATATTTACAAAAAAATGCATGGAAATGGCCATATCATTTAATTTAAATCATTTAACTCAACCAGATTATCAAATATAGTTAAAACTAATTATTCTAATAACATAACCAATACAACCTACTGGATTAAAAAAAGGTTTCCAGACCATTTAGGTAGAATCCTGTAAAGGGTTTTGGTGAGTGGTTTATTGAAAGATAGATGGCGTATGAAGCATTATCCTGAAAATTGATTTTTGTTTTTTTTTAAATAGTATGAATTTTTTAGAAATTAATTTAATTTTAGTTTAAAAAAATGTTTTATATTTTGCATAAAATTATATATTCCAAATTATAATATTAAAATGTTGCAAATTATATATTTGTAGTATATCTTAACAAAATACATTACATAAAACATTATAAAAAACATACACATGTAATATTAAAATAACAATGTTTAAAACTATTGCTAAACATTGCAAAACAAATTTTGTTATTAAAGCATGCTTCTTTGCAAAGATAGAATTCAAGATGTGCTAATGTGCAACTATTGGAATGAATTTGAGTTTGTAAAAATGTGACGTCCCTCATATATTCGGGAATATTCGGCTGTGTCCGTTGTCTGGTGCAAAAAAAAAAATACAGTTTGACTAAAAAAATTTCCAAATGTGTTTTTCAAAAAATTATTAGACTTAATTTATTTTAACTTATTAGACATACAACTTTCAAAGCTTGATAACTCTAAAACTATATTTAATTAAGTATACATACTCATCGAAAAAATCTACCAATTGTTCATTTTCGAGACACTCTGTACATCTGACCTACTTGTTTACCTTGTATATAAACTATCATCGTTTTTTTTGTATTGATCGATAAACTGCGAAAAACAAATAACCAAAAAACTTTTCCCCCCAGGATGTCACATATGTGACCCAGTTGTGTCTTCTGACTTATGGGACTTTCGAAAAACATTAATACTGAAAAAAAGTTCGACAAGTGACCTTCAACTAAAAGGTGATTTTTAGGTTTATTTTTAGATTTTTATAGTATCAGCCCTTGCGAAACATAATCTGAAAGACAACGATTTTCACCTTTAAACAGCTTTGAAGGATGTTCGCGGGAAATAAAAAAGAAGGAAAAGATGGCCAAGTGCTACACAAGTTTTATTATGAAAGTCATGTTTTGTCGGTTTTATTTTATTTTATCTTAACATGTGATCTATAGTAATTATAAAACCTAGCACACAATTAGTGTGTGGTAGGTTTTTGGATCATCAAGGACATGCATCATTTGCTTTAGTCACGTAAGGAAATTTCTTGTTAAAATGCTACTTTTGGATCATTTAATGTAGTTGGTGTCTTAACAACACTTTCCTATGATTATTTCCCTCATTATAATATGAACCAATCAAAAGCCTTGAATTTTCGAATAAATTTCGTTTAAATAAGCGATTAAATCACTAGACCTATTTAACAGCGATTAAATTTTAGCCTCCATATTGGATTTTTGTTTACGATTTTATGGTGTTATTTACAAGTTTTAACAAACATTTTTAAAAAAACAATAAAAAATAAGTTATCTAGTTTACGAAATATTAATTATTACTTATTACATACCTTAAATTAATGGAATTTTCTTTAAAAAAATATTTATAAATTTTGACACATACGTCAGATTTTATGAATTGTCAAGTAGTTTCCTTTAATTCGAGAAATAATCTAGACGTATATCACTCAATAAATTTTATCTGTCAAACTATGCTCAGTAAGTTTTTTATTTGATTTTTCTTTTTGGAAAATAGTTTCTTGCAAAATAATTAAAAATAACACCCCTCGACCGCTACGCGGTCTCGTGATTTTATTAAATTATTTTGCATTCAACATTTTCCAAGAAAAACCAAACAAAAAACTACTGAGCCTAGTTTAACCGATTAAATTCATAGTTCTCGTGATATAATATATGATTAAAATATTTTTAAATTTATAAAACACAATAAAAAAATCAAAGTACTGCATTCTTCATGGCGCCTAGTATGCTGTGGACAATGCAGTGATCTAATTGGTTAATTTTTTTTATAGAGATATATACAGTAAAGTTAAAAAATTTCAGAAACACCTAAAAGTATCAACATTTTTTTAGAAAATGTCAAAAAAATATGTAAATAGCTTAATAGGTACCGCCTTTAAGAGTTGTAATTTTTAAAATATCTTGTGCTCACCAGAATTTCTGCCACTAATAATACACAAATATTTTTTTTATTTGCGTATCATAATAAGCACATTATAATAGGCATTTGTGTTGCCCACAGTCAGAGGGAATTTTTTATAAATTTGTCAGCATGATATGCCATCATTATTGAAACGTTAGTTGGCATAATAAATAATAATTTTTTAATTTTAATAATAAATATTTATCAGTAACTTTACAATTTTATAATAAATTTTGTCCACTCCAACCTTTAAAACGCCCTTTATCGTACATGTTTCCATGACACTAAGTGACCTTTTAAATACACATTGACAAGTTGTGGCTTTATGGCGCTTTATTCACGGGCTGAAGTTAGTTTTAAGTTAGTTGACAGTTGTCAAATGTCAAATCGTTAAAATAAAGTGCCTTTATTGTAAAATAATACTAAATGTGAACGTTATTTTATTATCTCAATACAAAAATACAAAAGTATTAAATAGTTTCTCAACGCCAATTTTTGAAAAGTTGAAATTCGGGCACGGACTCCACTGTAAAGTGCTCATAAAACATTTTCTTTACTTTCACTGTGAAAAACTGTCAATTTTCAAGAAATACATTTCGATTTATGACCTTTATAATCTGTGTTAATAAATTATAAAAATTTGACATTTGACGGTGACACACAGATTCCTCTATTGTTTCATAGATGGCGCTCTATACAAATTTTTGATTTAAATTATTTTATAATAATAATAAATATTTGTCGTAGAAAAAAATTAAATTCGTGTATAAAATGGCGTTTATCAAACTTGATACATAATATAATATTAAAACCACATATTATTAATTTAATTGCCCGGGCTGGTGATGATATAACCTGGACCACCCTGTATACAATGTTATTAATCGGAAATTATTAATAAAAAAAACATTTAAGTATTAATTTGTTTGCTTTATATTTTGACACAATCTTTTTAAAATGGTTTAAAATAAAAACTTAAAACTTTATTTTCGAGCCTGCTGTGAGCTATATTGATTGAGTGCAGGCAGAATGCACTAGGTCAACATCTATTCTCCCTACCGATATTGGAGGGGCACGGATCGAATATGGAGACGATGACTTTAAATAACCTCACTTCCTGTTTCTGGCGGTGTGTGTTTGTTCGCTTCCATCTCTCCTGTAATCGACAGCCAAATCAACGAAATGTTTTATTGGAGCGCGTCTAAACGCCCATGAAAATGACTTTTCAAGCTTTTAGACGAAGTCAAAGATTAAATATTATGCAAATTATAAATATATTAAACCTTTTTATGACTAAAATTTTAAATTGCTCATAGTTAGTTATTAAATTGTGGTTGTAAGGTTAATAATAATATTTTATTAAATAAATATACTTTAACAAAAAAAAAATCCATAGTTTAAATATTATTTGGAATGTAAAACAAGAATATATTATTTTGAGGTTTGTGTCATTTTACAATACATGTTTCTACTTTAAGTGCCAATTTTTGTTTTTATTTGTGGGTATG